TGTACAAATTTTCCTCATATTCAACATGGAATTTACAACTGGAATTTCACAGGTCGAGCGGCGATGGTGCATATTCGGCTGCCTGTTTGTCAGAAAATGCGACGATGTACGTGTAAAATGCAATTGTAATTTGCGTTTCATTACACTGACAGTGCAAAGCCATTGCTGTGTAATATATTTTGTGTGAGTGTGTTGTATCATAGTGCATTGCGATAAATAAATTTTTAGCCTGAGAAGAATCATTTTACCCGCTGTATTGTCTACGCAAATGCAATAGCTAATTGCATACTCTACGGCGCGGGAATGAGAGAATTTCCACGGATCTCGCGAAATCGCGGATTCAAATCCGCCCAGGGTTGATTTTGTGAAAACGTCTAATCCGTTGAGCGCAAATTTGGGGGTTAGAAGATGTATCAAATTTGCATTTTACAGTCGCAAACAGTACCTTCATTATTAATAACATTGTAGATATAGTTTTGCTTTACAATATAGAGCACGGCTTAGTCAGCTGTTTGAGATTGTCAAGAACGGTTGGCCAGTGTGTGGCGTTTATTTGACCTGCAAGTTGTGTGTGTATGTATGCCGCGGGCGTGCTATGCAGCCGTATATAGTACGCAGATGCGATTTGCATGCGTAGTAACATCAAACAGCTCCAGCCCGTCACAGGGTGGGGAGGGGCCCGAGGCTTGAGGGCTTGTTCTATGAGAGTAACAGCCGGCCCAGGGCTACTGGCGACTGTTTTCAGCATTCTTGCCCAACGAAATTGCTGTTTAAAATACATAACGCATAAAAGGTGGTGTCGCGAACCTGCCTTTTCGGTGACGCTTTGAAAAGCGATAAATAAAAAATTGATGTTGGCCGATCGCGCCGCTAGCTCCTAAGGGTGTTAAGAATATTTATAGTCGTGTGGCAAGAAGGATTTTTGGGGCTAACTTTGGCGTACAAATAAAGCGGTTCCTTTCCTGATGTCTGATCAGCTGTGGGTCTCAGCAGACTTGCTTGCAGGCAGGACAGGCGCTAAAGTTGTTGCAATATTACCAAAATAATATGGGCATAAATAATATATAGTAAAGCTAGAAATTCTGTCATTTCACCTCTTTTCAAAAATCATAATTAAACAACAATGAAAGCGGATTAGTTTGCATTAGCTAGGGGAGGGACATTCTAATAATGAGAGGGGGGTTCTTTACTCCCAACTCGTACCTTGGTAAACAATTCCAAATACTATTATTGCAAAAGGCTAAAGGAAAGGAAGCAGTTTTTGAGTCATTTCTCCAAAGTTCACACCACCCAGTACTTAATCCACAACTGATATCATGTGTTTAATTTAGTCTATTGGCCACTTGTCTGATCTTTATTAGGTCAAGTGTGAACGATACTCCACCTGAAAGATTTGAGATTAGCCCTTTGTGTCGTGGAGTGCTACACATGCCTATCATAAGTCGTAAAATTGCTCTTTTTGGCCACGGAGATAGCCGATGCGTACAAGTTACGTCACTTCCGACATGCTCGGGTTAGAGAATGCGTTCTCTCTCTTTTTCGCCGCCATAGCGAATTTCGTTGTCTGGTTGTTGCTTCTCCAATAGATTTACTCTTCCCGACGTTGGTGTACTCCGAGCCTGGTTCCCCCAGCTGGTTTTCTGCAGTGTAATCCCCAGGGGCTCAAATGAATCGCCATTAAAATACCCTACAAGATGTACGCTCAACAATGTGCTTTCTGTTGTTTTTTGGCGTGCCGATCTTACGTTAAATGGTGTCAGAAGTGGGATGGCGTCTTTTACCCCTGAGGAGGATCCTGAACGGCCCCTGAAAAGGATCCTGAACTGCAATATTTGGATGAGGCTTGACGACTCGCATTGACATTTGAAGTGATTCACATTTAGTCTAACTATCTTAAATTTGGATATATTCAGTGATAGTTGAGGAAAACCGTGGACTAGAGTTGCCAAGAGGTATACGTCTAGCACCCTCTTGTGTGATTCATGACGAGAGTGGTAAAGTAATAGTTCAAGTTAGGGTTAAGTTAGCAAATTTCTCCGATGCTGATGCTTATCTTCGTCCCAGGACACCGATAGGGGTACTGAGTGCTGCTGAACCCGAATCAAAAGTGGATGTGGTTCAGGTGGGTGTTTCTGAGATGGAAGTGAGAATGAAGTCGGACGAAACGGTCATGTCTAAGTATACGGATGATCTTCTGTCTAGAATGGAAATGAATGGAGACTTGACTGATCAACAGAAGCATCAAGTGGAAGAGGTCATTCAGAAGCACAAGCACGTTTTTAGCATGTCGGAGCTTGACATTGGGTATTGTGACATGATCGAACATCAGATCAACACCACAGATGCTATTCCAATCAGGATTCCACACCGCAGAGTGCCACCGCACATGTGGTCCGAAGTGAGGGAGTAACTCAGACAGTCGTTAGACACTGGCGTAATCCAAGAATCCAGCAGTCTATATGCGTTGCCAGTGGTATTGGTAAAGAAAAAGGATGGTTCCTTGAGAATATGTTGTGATTACCAAGCGCTGAATTCAAGGACTAGGAAAGATGCCTACCCATTACCTCGTATAGAAGAAGCATTAGGTTTGTTAAAAGATGCACAGTACTTTTGAAGTTTGGACTTAGTGCATGGGTTTAACCAGATTCCTATGGCTAGTAAGGACATAGAGAAAACCGCTTTTCGAGTGGATACAGGTGGTCTATATGACACCCGCAGAATGCCTTTTGGCCTCACCGGCGTCCCAGCTACATTAATGAGATTAATGGATAAGTTGCTCGGAGAACAAAACTTTCAAACGATCCTCATCTATTTGGACGATATCCTCATTTTTGGAGAACTTTTGAGGAGACGTTAGAGCGTCTGGAGATGGGGCTCACAAAATTGTTTAAGGCAAATTTAAAAGTAAAACCCGAGAAACGTCAGCTGTTTAAGACTAAACTTAGATATCTTGGGCACACTGTCTCGTCAGGTGATATAAGACCGGATCCTGAGAAAGTATCAGCTGTGAAGGAGTGGCCAACTCCTAAAACTGAGATGGAGTTGAGAGGATTTTTTGGTTTGGCCGGGTATTACCGCCGCTTTGTGCCTGATTTTGCTAAGACGGCTGCACCCCTACACGCATTGTTGAAGGGACCAAAGAAGAAGAAACGTCATCAGGCAGTGTGTGTTGTCCCAGGTATTGGCGCATGGGACTCTACTTGTGACAGAGCTTTTACTGAGCTC